GTCTCTCCTGACAACATGTCCAAAGTATGTGAGATGAAGTCTCGCCATCCTCGCTTCTAAGGAGCATTCTGGCTGTACTTCTTTCAAGACAGATTTGTTCATTCTTCTGTCAGTCCATGGTATATTCCATATTCTTCACCAACACCATAATTCAAAGGCATCAATTCTTCTTCACTCTTCGTTATTCATTGTCCAGCTTTTGCATGCACATGAGGCGATTGAAAATACCATGGCTTGAGTCAGGGGTACTCTAGTCCTCAAAGTGACGTCTTTGCTTTTTAACAGTTTAAAGAGGTCTTTTGCAGGATATTTGCCCAATGCAATATGTCATTTAATTTCTTAACTGCTGCTTCCATGGACGTTGATTGTAGATCCAAGTAAAATGAAATCCTTGACAGCGTCAATATTTGCTGTTTATCATGATGTTGCTTATTGGTGCAGTGGTGAGGATTTTTGTTTGCTTTGTGTTAAGGTGTATTCATACTGAAGGCTGTGGTCTTTGATCTTCTTCAGTAAGCGCTTCAAGTCTTCAATTTCAGCAGGCAAGGTTAAGTCATGTCTATATCACAAGTCATGCGCACCTTACTCCTCAAATTGACGTTTTTGCTTTTCAACACTTTAAAGAGGTCTTTTGCAACAGATTTGCCCAGTGCAATACGTGGTTTGTGTCGGATATAGAAAGAACCAATTCACCAGAGACTGGTGGAAAAGTCAGAAAGCCATTTTATTGATTTTCCATGAATGATCTAACTTCATTGGGCGAAAATGCTCTGTCAGCTGGGTGTCACATTCACTCCCCAATAGAAAAGTCTACACTGCGAGCTAAATACAGGATGATAAGAGGGTGCTCATGAACAATGTCTTGGAGGAAAGACTGAGCCCTGTATGCACACTTTTGTGCTCTTTGGTATTACTTTTTCTGGACTCCATGAAAGCCACATTTTTGTTCACATTATTTACTTGATTATTTCAATACAATTGGTTGATGTTGTTGTTAGTTGCTGTTGAGTCCATTCCGACTCATGGAGACCCCATGTGTACAGAATAGAACTGTTCCATAGGTTTTCAAGGCAGATCACCAGGCCTGTCTTCTGAGGCACCTCTGGGTGGGTTCGAACCATCAACCTTTCAGGTAGTAGAAGAGCACTTATCCATTTGAACCACCCAGGGTAAAGCTACTTATCTCCAGGATCTGCTTTTATGTGTAGTTTCATGTTGGGACATTGTTTACTACAAAACAATTTTAACAGATAGCTAATCCCATTTCCTGGGAACTGATTTTGCTAGTTCAACTTTCAAAGATCAGCCTTATTCCCAATATTTAGCTAGCCCCAAATGCACTGAGAGAGGGAGGAAGAGGGACAGTGTGTGTGAGGAGTTGGGGGGTTATTCAATGAAAGCTGTAGAGAGAATTTAAAATTTAACCTGAGCTTTGAGGAACAGATGTATATTATAAACATAACTTTAAGATGATTATTTTTATTACATATATGGAATTCTCTTAAAAGTACTGTTTGAATATAATTGATATACTAATAACAAACTTCATAACTAGCATATTAAATAAGATTTTATAAAGATGTTTTGGGAAACAGCTAAAAATAAAATAATTTCCCTCTAAAATCATCCAATAGCTTAGACTCTAATTTTGACAACTTAGTGTAGTTCATAGTTTTGTCATAAAAGAAACAGATTAATATGACTTTGTAGATGTTTCAAAGTAAAATATGTTTGGACTTTGTCTTAGTCATTTAGTGCCACTATAACAGAAATACCACAAGTGGATGGCTTTAACAAAGAGAAGTTTGTTCTTTCACAGTCTAGTAGGCTACAAGTCCAAATTCAAGGCATCAGCTCTAGGAATAGGCTTTCTCTCTCTGTCAGCTCTGGAGGAAGATCCTTGTCATCAGTCTTCCCTTGGTCTGGGAGTTTCTCTGCGCAGGAACCTAAGGCCCGAAGGACACGCTGTGCTCCCAGCACTGCTTTCTTGGTGGTATGAGTTTGCCACATGTCTCTGCTCGCTTCTCTCTTTCATCTCTCAAAAGAGATTGGCTTAAGACACTATCCAATCTTGTATACCTCATCAGCATAACTGCCGCTAATCCATCTTATTACATCATAGCGATTGAATTTACAACACATACAGAAATCACATCAGATGACAAAATGACAGACAATCATACAATACTGGGAATCATGACCCAGCCAAGTTGACAGATATTTTTGGGGGACACAATTCAATCCATGACAGACTCTATAGCTAAGAAAAATTCTCTTAGGAAGTATATTGTCTTACTTGTCACTAATATAAGTGGATTGTGAAAGACTCACACACACAAGTTAAAAATACAGATTTTTAAAAAACCACAAAATTTATATTGAAGTTGTCTGAGATCCCACCACCCCGAAACAAGTGCTGTTAACATTTTGATATATATTCTTCCAGATTTTTTCCTTTGTAAATATAACGTGCATATATCTATACACAGAAATAGGATCATCCTATCCCATTATTTAGTAACCTCCCCTTTTCACTTAATATGGCTTTACTATATTTCTAACTATGTTAGTTAATGTGTATCTATATGATAATTTTCAATGGTCACATAATAAAGAGGTTTCTATATAATTTGATGTCACTGGAATATTATTATAATGGAAAGTAATAGGATGAGAGGCAGTATAACAAAGTGGGTAGAAGCTGAGCTTGGAGCTCTGCCGTTCACTAACTCTGGGCATGTTAACTAAATCTCAGTTTCCTCATCTTTAAAATGGAGGTGATTATGATACCTATTTTGTAGTTTTGTCATGAAGACTAAACAAAATAATCCATAAGGAGCACTTAGCACACTGTCTAATGATAAGTGAACTCTCAATAAGTATCTTTAAAAAAAGACTAACTCAATTTTCTGACTAGTTTGAGGTTCCTTTGGAACTAGAATTCTGCTTATATAATTATTTCCAAAATTGGGAAGTAATATAAAAATCCAGACAACTAAAATTCACCCAAATTAGTGGCAAACAAAGAATCCAAGTGAAAATGCCTTCTCTTGTACGTTACCTGGAAAATTTGGCCCCCTTTGCCAGTATTTAGGAAACATTTGAATAGGTACAAGAGTGACAATTTTATTGATAAATGTTTTTATTGTTACAAATATATCTATACATAAAACACACAGCTAATCTAGATGTTCTGAACACTTAGCCTGTGCTTCCTGGAGGAGAAAGGGAACATCTTCTTGTCTGTTCCAAAGAAGAATCTTTCCCAAGTTTCCATATTCCTGTCATTGCACCACAGTTTACTTTTCCGGTTTTACTTCAGTAGGCAATGATAGCTAAGTGGACACAGGAAGGGCAGTCTGAGAAGGAAATATGGTTAGGACAGAGGGTAGGTCCCTAACAGAGGGTATGAGGTATTATACCATGCAGCCAGCAACTGCTGTAGCAGTATCAGGGAGAAGTGTTCCACAAACTCCTCATTTCATTTTTACCACGTGTAGCAAGATATGTTTCACTAAAAAAATTCACCAAAATCCTGGGAAGTTTTGTGGCATTTGCTATTACTGGACTCTTTTATAAGAAAAATTGCTTCACTAATGAAAAAATGGAGGGGTGATTCTATATTAAATAAACTCTTAAGGATTTTCTGACTAGGTATTTTTAAGATAGATAATACCTAGATAAAACATTCAGAGGGAGGCAACGGAGAAACAGAAGAAAAATAAGTAAAAGTTACCATGCATAAGAAATGATAAGGGGGGCAGCTTAACGGGTGAGTATAAATTAGTTTTGGGTACATTGTGGGGGGAAATCAGGAAGGCATTTCAGTCCTCAACACCTCATAATTTTTCCTCAGTAATTACAGTGAACTTTATGGAGCTCCTAGTATATGCCAGGATTCGTTTGAAGGAGTCCATGGGTGACACAAACGGTCAAACTACGTAAACAGCTGACTACTAACTGAAGGTTGGTGGTTCAAACCCACCCACTCAGAGACACCTTAGAAGAAAAGCCTGGAGTTCTGCTCCTGAAAGGCCATAGCCATGAAAACCCTATGGAGCGCAGTTCTACTCTGCGCACATGGGGTTGCCATGAGTCGGAATTAACTTTATGGCAGCTGGTTTGGTTGTTCTGTTTCCCACATATATAAGCTAGTTTAGTCATCACCACAACTCTATGAGGTGGGTATTATTATCCTTGCCACAAGCCAAGGGTCATGTCAACATTTCCCTCCTTGGTAGAAACTACCCTTCACTGGGTTTCTAGAAGTTCTTCACCTGTTCCTTGTATCCCTTCTTACCATGTTAAAAGGGATATAGTTGCTCCAGTGAAAATCTGTCTTCATTTTAAGGGTTAGTCTAATCACAATGAAGTTCCTGGATGGTGCAAACAGTTAATGCACTCTACTGCCAACCAAAAGGTTGGAAATTCAAGTCCACCTAGAGATGCCTTGGAAGAAAGACCTGGTGATCTACTTCCAAAAAATCAGCCATTGAAAACCCTATGGAGCCAGCTCTGCTCTGACACACATGGGGGTCTCCATGAGTTGGAATTGACTCAGGGGCAACTGGTACTGGTTTTCTAATTATAATAGAGAAAAGTTGGAAGAAGACAAAAATAATATTGGACAATTAAAACGTTTATAAGCCTTGTAAAGCTTCCCTGTCAACAGTTCTGGTCTAATAGGTCTCAAGAGTGTAACAGAAGCTCTGCTGGAATTCTGCTCATTGATTTGATTTGGGAGAGCAGAGGCCTCTAAACTGACTCCAGCTAAGGTGGTGGTGAAGGAGTTCTCAGGGGCAATAAGCAGAACCACAGGTGCCCCTTGTCTAAAGGGGTAGCTTTCATTTTGGATAACCTACAAATTGTATTCCTTTCACTGAGTGCCCTTTTTCTCAGAGTCACGGTCCTATTTGGGTATTTCCTTATGGTTCAAATAGAGTTATCTTTGTGAATTGCCCAGGAACCCAATTAACAGTTACATAATGCTCTGTTTTCAGGAAAAAACTTTGATGTCTAAAGAATCAGCTTGCAGCCACATAAACGAGAGACTTCATCAGCCCTAGACCAGAAGAACTAGATGGTGCCCGGCTACCACCAGTGACCGCCCTGACAGGGAACACAACAGAGAATCCCTGATAGAGCAGCAGAAAGATGGGGTGCAGAACTCAAATTCTTGTTAGGGAGACCAGACTTAATGGTCTGACTGAGACTGGAGGTACCCCGGAAAGCATGGCCCCTGGATTCTCTATCAGCCCAGAACTAAAACAATTTCCGAGGCCAACTCTTCAGACAGGGATTGGACTGGACCGTGGGACATAGAGTGATACTCGTGAGGAGTGTGCCTCTTAGCTCAAGTAGATACAAGAGACTAAATGGGCAGCTTCTGTCCGGAGGTGAGATGAGAAGGCAGAGAGGGTTAGGAGATGGTTGAAGGGACATGGGGAATCATGGGTGGAAAGGAGGAGAGCGCTGTCACAGTATGCGGAGAGCTATTAGAATCACATAATAATGTATGTATAAAATTTTGTATGGGAGACTAACTTGAAATGTAAACTTCATTTAGACTACAACAATAAATAATAATAATAATAAAAGAATCAACTTGCAAATGAGTGTCTGGAGCTTGACAAAGTTCCAAGTTGGAGCATGAGTGAATGCTGTGGACACTAAACTTCTAGGCAGAATAATACTCATTTTTAGTTCATCTATTACATGAACACCATAATTCTATCCTCTTTATTTTGTAAAATTACCCAGTACTTTCTGGATAAGAAGACTCAAACTTATGAGGAAGAAAATTTCTGCCAAGTTAATTTACAACTTTATAACTGAACACAATTTTAACACCATTATTTTTGGAACTAGACCAACTAATTTTAAAATTGCATTGGAAATTAAATAAGAAAAAAATCAAGGGAAATTCTGAAGACAATGAAAAACAATGAGAGGAGGCCATTCCTAACAAATCACAGAATGTTATAAAAAAATAGTTAGGGAAATGCAGTAGAGGTTCTAATCAATTTAATGCATGATACGATAGAACATGTGGAATTGAACCAGACTATAGAAAACACTATTAAATGTTATAATAAGTAGAGAGTAGTGACAGAAAAATGAAGTTAAACAAATATGCCAAAGTAAGACATGAGAGGAAATTTTTTTTTAAGCAGAAAAAGAGTAATTTCCAGATATGTCAAAGGGATGAACACTTTCTAAGAATTCAAGCAAAAGAAGAAATCATGGGGAAAAAGATTGACCATTTTGGCTATGTAAAATTGTTTATAAAACAAAAACTAACAGCATATATACACTCAAAAAGAGTTTGACACAATGGGAAAAATTCAACATATAATGGGAAAACTGGGATCCAGGAGCGACAGAGAGTGGGCTTTGACGTTAGCCTCTGGGTCCAAATCCTGCCTCCACCACTCACTAGGTGTATGAACATTCTTAAGTTTTTTAACTCCTCTATGCCTCAGTTTTTTCTTCTGGAAAAGAAGGTTAATAATATCTAACTTGTAGCATTATAGGTATGAGATGAATGAATATAGATGAACACTGTCTGACATCTAGTAACCGCTTAATGATTGCTAGTTGTTATGATCTATGGCAGTGGTTCTCAACTAGGGGCAATTTGGCAATGCCTGGAGACATTTTTGATTGCCACAACTTGGGGGAAGGGCGCTACTGGCATCTAGTAGGTAGAGGTCAGGGAAGCTGCTCAGCATCCTACAATGCACAGGACAGCTGCCCATAACAAAGAATTATCTGGCCCAAAATTTCAGTAGTGCTGAGTGTGAGAAACTCTGCTCCATGTTTTGTAAAAAGCTTGTACAACTTTACAAGAACTCCAACAAAATCCCAATATACATGGAAAAAGGACATGGACTTAAAAAGTTTAGATAATAAGCAAGAATTAAAATTTGCCAGTAATAGTGATAAAAGATTAAATAAAATAAATAATAATAAAAGATTAAATCAATAAAGAATTATTTTAAAATTTCAAGATTAATATTAAAATCCAAAGCTGGTAACATCCACTAGGATATCTGCTATAAGAAAAACAGAAAACAAGTGTTGTCAAGGATGTGGAGAAGTTGAAACCCTCATCCATTGCTAGTAGGAATGTAAAATGGTGCACTGTCGATGTTGTTGTTGTGTGCCATTGAGTTGATTCCGACTCATAGCGACCCTATAGGACAGAGTAGAACTGCCCCATAGAGTTTCCAAGGAGTGGCTGGTGGATTTGAACTGCCAACCTTTTGGTTAGCAGCCTGAGCTCTTAACCACTTTGCCACCAGGGCTCCTAAGTAGTTCCTAAAAAGTTAAAGATAGATTTGCCATATGATCCAGTAACTCCATTCCTAGATATATACCCAAAAGACTGAAAGCAAGGACTCCAACAGATAATTGTATACAAATGTTCACTGCAGCATTATTCACAGTAGTCAAAAGGTGAAAACAACCCAAGCGTCCATCAACTGATAAATGGATAAACAAATTGTGAGTTATTCAGCCATAGAAAGAAATGAATTCTGGTATGTGTGCTACAACATGGATGAACCTTGAAAACATTATGCTGAGTGAAATAAGTCAGACACAAAAGAACAAGTATTGTGTGATTCCACTTATATGAAACATCTAGAATAGGCAAATGCATAAAACAAAAGTTCATGAGTGTTTACTAGGGGCTGGGGGAGGGACAATGGAGAGTTACTGCTTTAGGGGTATTATAAATTGAATTATATCCTCCAAAAAGATATGGCAGTCCTAACTCCTGCACTGGTGAATGTGACCTTATTTGGGGAAATAGAGTTTTTTTTCTTTGCAGATGTTATCGGTTAAATTGACAAAGTCACACCAGAGTTAGGTGGGTCCTAATCTTAATCTCTTCTGAGTGGGGTTTTATAAAAGAGAAGGACAGACATGGAAACAAAGTTACACACAGGGATGAGACGGCACGCAATCATTTGTCTATAAGCCAAGAAACACGTGGGACCACAGAAGCTGAGACAAGAAAGGATCTTCCTCCAGAACCAACAGAGATAGCATAGCCCCGTCAACGACCGGAACTTGAACTTCTAACCTCCATAACTATGAAAAAAATAAGTGTCTGTTCTTTAAAGCCACCCACTTTGTGGTATTTTGTTATGTTGGCTCTAGGAAACTAAGCAAGAGGTACTGAGTTTCTGTTTGGGGTGATGGAAAATGTTTGGAAACTGATAGTGGTAGTGGTTGCACAATATGGTGAATGTAATTAATGTCACTGAATTGTATACTTAAAATGGAAATGTTTTGTTATATGTATATTTACCACAATCAATTTTTTTAAAAAAGAAATGCAAAGCTGGTGATTTACCAGGGAATTTGGTACATTCAGTCCTTGGGAAACTGGGTATTAAGAGCCATAAAAATGCACATCTCTTTTGACTCTTTATTATCAGTTCTGGAGATTAGTCTAAATTAATTCTTTAAAAAATGGCTTATATGGGCCAATATGCTTAATGAATACTGCAGCATTTCTTGTATTACCAAAAACCTAAGAGTAATTTAAATGAACAAAAAGACAAAATAGTTAAATGAATTACATGTTATAACTAAATGGACTATTTTATCACCAACTGAATTTATGTTAAAGTAAAAATTATAACTACATGGAAAACGTGTTCAAAGTAATAACTAAAGATGAGTAAGACATTTTTATTTATATGTAATCTATAGTTATAACTATATAAAATATGTATGCACATAAGCAAATATGAAACACAAAACAAATGCTCAATGATACTGGTTGAATAAATTAATAATAAGAAATAAAAACATTGTGATGTTATAAGGGTGATATGCATGCATCTTTTTCATATTTATTTTAATGTTTTCAAATGTTGTTATAATTTTCTCTGGACAAAAAGAAAAAACAAAAAAGCCCCAAAACTCAGCAGACATGCCTACATTTTATGAGGTAAAGTCAAGTACACACGATAGGGGCAGGCATTGGATGGTGGTCTCCACACATTCATAACTCATATTGCCAGTGACCCATCAACAGGCTATTTTATTTCTAAGTGCACACATCTTTCAATTTCCACTTTGTAGGTGGCGCCTTACAAACTTGGCTTTCAGCTTGGGGCAGGGACATCTCCATGAACTTTTTTTTTCCATTTTGGTTAAAACAGGTGGTCCTGGGAGAAAATATGTGATCGTATTCCCCGCTAAATACATTATTAAGCATTTAAAATAAAACAATAAAGATACAGTTTTGCGATATATGAAGTTGGCCATCAGGAAAATTCCACCTCCTTTGGGAGTTTTGAGTAATGGTCCTTGAAAAAAAAAATTTGTAGGTTGATTTATTTTTTTAATTACTTTTTATATATAGAAGTCAAAGTTTTTGTTTTTCACAGGAATTTTTTTCTTTAATCTGGTGTATAAGTTAGGCATAGTGGTTTATTTAAGTATTACAAATTTCTGGAACTTTTACCACAGATTATTGGAAGAGACAGTTTATACAGATAACAAAATGCACAGTCACTTCGGAATTGGTTCTGAGAATCTGTAGTGAGGAGGCCTTTGCACTGATACTGTGTTTTGTTCCAAGAGGAGCCATCAAGGCCAGCTATCACATTATGTTAGTATTTTATGATTATTTATTTCTCTAGATTATTTTTTGCTTCAGTGAACCATTGGTTGTCCGAAAGAAACTATACCAAACCAAACCCATTGGCATCAAGTCAATTCCAACTCATAGCGACCCTATAAGATGGAATAGAACTGCCCCATAGTGCTTCCAAGCCTGTAATCTTTACAGAAGCAGACTGCCACATCTTTCTCCTATGGAGTGGCTGGTGGGTTAGAACCTCCAACCCTTCATTTATCAGTTGATCTCTTAACCACTGGGTAACAGAGCTCTGAAAGAAACCATAGAAATAGTTTTTTTATTTTTGTGGAATTTGACCAACAATTTAGTCCTAGTTCCACCAATGTTGCTCTGTAAACTTAAATCTTTTAACCAATTTCCTACGTATAAATGGGAATAAAATGCTCAAGGCTGTGTTTCCTA